TAAATATTTAAAATTTTATGTTGTGAGACAGGGCGCCTGGGTGGCTCGGTCGGTTAAGCGTCCGACTTCGGCTCAGGTCATGATCTCGCGGTCCGTGAGTTCGAGCCCCGCGTAGGGCTCCGGGCTGACAGCTCCGAGCCTGGAGCCTGTTTCCGATTCTGTGTCTCCCTCTCTCTCCGACCCTCCCTCATTCACGCTGTCTCTCCCTGTCTCAAAAATAAATAAATATTAAAATAAACAAACGGTTTTTAAAAGGATATTAACAGTAATTCCACACTAGCACGTAAGCTAGTCGAGATTCCTATGTCCCCAGTGTTTCTGTGAAACGTGCTCTCTGGAAGAATCGGGAATCGGGACCTCACAAAGGCCCCTGCGTCGCATCTGGGGCTTGCATTTCCCAGTGGGGCCCCTCAGCGATGGCCCTGCCTGGCCTGGAGGTATCTGGCTCCTTCCCCCACCCACCTCTCTCTCTCTCCCTCTCTCTTTTCTCCCCAGGAGCCCAGGATGTGCAAGTTCGAGTGCCGCCCGAGGTGCGGGGCAACCTGGGGGGCACCGTGCAGCTACCGTGTCACCTGCTGCCGTCGGGACCGGACGTCAGAGTCTCGCAGGTGACGTGGCTGCACGTGGACGCAACCGGCACCAGCAGGAGCGTGGCCGCCTTCCACCCTTCGTACGGGCCCAGCTTCCGCAGCCCAAAGCCCGGCGAAGAGCGGCTGTCCTTCGTCACCGCCGGGCAGAGCAGCGGGACCAGGCAGGGCACGGAGACGGAGCTGCGGGATGCCACGCTGGCCCTCCGGGGACTGACGGTGGAGGATGAGGGCAACTATACCTGCGAATTTGCCACGTTCCCCAGTGGCACCAGCCGGGGGACGACCTGGCTCCGGGCCATAGGTGAGCAGGGTCGGGCGGGAGAGCCCTCTCGCAGATCTGTCTCTCCCTCTGCTCCGGCAGTAATATCGGCTTTCTCCGTGGTCTTCGGTCAGTTGGCAAATATCCATTAAGCGCCTGCCGTTGCCAGACTCTGTTCTGCAGGTTGAGGTTACAGCAGGCACAGGGCATTCGCCAAAGACGTACTGAGCACCTACTATGTGCTGGGCCCTGTTTGGGGCTCTAGCAACAAAGCAGTAAGACAGCTCCCTGCCCTCCTGGGGCTTCTACTTCAATAAGGGAGGGTCAGACAGTAACTAACGTTAGTAAGAAAAACAGGAGTGAGTCGGGTGGTTCTAGGTGCCATGGAAGCTGGTGGGGGGCAGATTATAATTTTGGCTGTAGAGTCCGGGTGAAATCTGAAGAAAAACTCGAAGGAGGCAAGGGAGCCCCGTAGGTTCTCTAAGGGAACAGCATTTCAGACAAAGAGAATGGCAGGTGCAAAGGTCCTGAGGCAGGGCCCACCTGGAACGTTTGCCGTAGAGCAAGGAAGTGAGTGTAACCGGAGGCTTGCGGCTGAAGGGAAAGGAGGAGGGGACAAGGTCAAGAAAATAGTGGAAGCCACGGGACAGCCCCATGAACCACATGAGGACTTTGATTTTTGCCCTGAGAGCACCAGAACTGTGGGAGGTTCTGAGCAGGGGATAGGTGTGATCTGGCTTCAGTTTTCACAGGCTCCTCTAGCTGCAGGTCGGGGGCAAGGGTGGCAGCTCAGGGGCCACAGGGGAGCGCGTGAGTCCCGGCAGGAGGTAATGGCAGCAAGGCAGAGGCACTTGGGGCAGCAAGAAGAGATCAGATTCGGGAAACAGGTAATGCCGGGGAATGATCCAATGAGCCAACAAAGGGGACACACCAGGATGATGCGATACTCACTTCGAGTAAGCGACCCCGGTGGTCCCTTTTAGACAGAATGGGCAGGGAAAGAAAGCCTCTTCGTCAGGTCCTGAAGCGTCAGGTCCTGAAGCGTAAGGAGTCACGCGGGGACGTGTGCCCTCGGGCAGGGGAATAGATGCACCCGTAAGAGGGAACCGTGTACCAAAAAGCTGGGAACCGCGTACCAAAAAGCTGGGACGCAGGAGTGCGCTTGGCATGTACCAGGAACAGAAAGGAGGCTGGTGGCCAGGGCTTGCGTGACCTCACCGAAGCAGGAAAACCAGCAGAGCCAGATCGCATGGGCCTCCTGGGCGAAGGATTCCATGGGGGCAGATGCAGCGGGGGGTGGGGAGGAGCGGGTGGGATAAAGCCTCCAGCTCCAGCCAGGGAGGGCAGGGGAGGGGCGTGACCAGCACAGCCACTTAAGAAAATGGAGACTTTGGGAAGGGCTTTTTTTTTTTTATTTTTAAAAAAAATTTTTTTTTTCAACGTTTTTTATTTATTTTTGGGACAGAGAGAAACAGAGCATGAACGGGGGAGGGGCAGAGAGAGAGGGAGACACAGTATCGGAAACAGGCTCCGAGCCATCAGCCCAGAGCCTGACGCGGGGCTCGAACTCACGGACCGCGAGATCGTGACCTGGCTGAAGTCGGACGCTTAACCGACTGCGCCACCCAGGCGCCCCGGGAAGGGCTTTTTTTTGAAGGATGCTCTTTCTTGTTCCATCTTGGGCACCCGCCTGGGATCCCACCTTCCCCCGGCAATGTCCCGCAAGCCACCTCGCTCGGGACTCGCATTTTCGCTCTCTCAGCCCCAGAGGGTTTGAGAAGTCCACCCTGTACCGTCCCTGGGCAAAGGCTTTCATTTCAGAGGCGCCCGAAACCCCGGTTGTTTTGCAGAATCCAAAACACAAGACTCTCACCACCCCACCCCTGGCAAAGGTCTCTTCCCATGCCGTCACTTGTTCTGTTCGAGTGACCTGTCTCACCCCAGGTGCCTCCTGGGGCAGGTGCACAGAACAGACCAGCCAGACCTCTGCTTTTCGTGGAGGAGCAGGTGCCGTGAGTCCCCCCCCCAAAGGAGAGTCAGATGTCAGGGAAGTTCCCTTGAAGAAGTGAGGCTGGGATCTGCAGGAGAAGACCCCGCAGCGGGTGGGAGCAGGGTCTGAGGGCGGCGTGGGGCAGGTGCCCAGGACGGTCAGAGGACAGATAGCAGGGTGACCGGGGAAAGGAGAGGAGGGCCCTACCGCATGGATGAGCTCAGGAGAATCCCAGATAGAGATTTCCACAAGCCAGCTGGAGAGCCGAGGCACCACCCGGGACAGTCTGGTGACAGCCGCGGGTTGCTTATTCCTCATGGAGGTTTTATTGTTTTCCCTCCCCATACCTTTCCATGTTTTCCAGGAAGGTAGGTGAAAAGGGCAAAAAATCTCCCGCTTTGGGGATCTCCGTAACCTTTATCCCACTTCTGGCCCCGCAGTTTGCTGGTGATTTCAGGAAAGAAGTAGAAATCCTTTTGAGCTGGACCTTTGAACTACATTATTCTGCTTTGGCTTAAAAAACAAAAAACAAAAAACAAAAAAAAAACCACTTAGCCTCTTCCAGACAGAATTCTATCATGGCACACGGTGCAGCGAGTGCTATACGTAGAAATTTATTTAATCTGCACAACATTCCTACGGGGTGGGCATTTTTTAAATTAATTTTTGTTTGAAGTTTATTTTGTTGTTTTTGTTGTTGTTTATATTTATTTTTTTTAATTTTTTTTTAATGTTTATTTTTGAGGCAGAGAGAGACAGAGCATGAACAGGGGAGGGGCAGAGAGAGAGA